TGTGTGTGTGTGAGTGTGTGTGAGTGTGTGTGTGTGTGTGTGTGGTGACTATGTGAAAAGCGATGTGTAAACGTAAAGTCTACTCTCCTGTGGAGTGGATCAACAGTCCTCCTCCGTCTACTGTGTGAGCTTTTCAGGAAATACCCTAATCTTGTTTGGGCCGTTTAATCATTCTCTTGATATGTATTGGCCTGGAGGATTCAAGCACAAATCTGTCTCAATCCTCTTACTTCACTGGAATTACTGAATGCATGATTATTTGGAGGAAATGTTACGTCTGTTGTTGTACATATATACTGAAATGTACCATATGTGTGTACCAAAAAACAAAAAGCTCAAGCTAAATGAATAAATAAACCAATAAAGTTCTCCTAAATGAATAAATAGTGTGATCAGAATGCATCCAGGTGGTTTTTGAGAGTTTCAGACGGGGATGTGTTGGTGTCTGATGTAAAGGTCTCACTTCAGCTCAGTAGCAGCTGATAACACAAAGGCTGTGGGTGGCCCATCAGCACATCAGTGAAGACTTCATCATGATCCAGACGGGCTCAGAACAGCAGGAGAGCCTACAGGAGTCAGCCAGAGCTGAAAATAAACCACTCTATTCTGAGTCACTCAAACAGCCACACACGTCACATGATTTATTAGCATTTGCTCAGATTTATTGGCTGCTGTCATGTTCTGGTCTTCATTTGTGGCTTTAAGGACATCATAGTTTCGTTTGTACCTTCATGAAAAAGAAGTGTGCTTTATTGTATTGAATGTGCACTTGTAGAGTACTTCATAAAAACTACTTGCAGATAATATAATATAAATGAAATAAAAGGCCACTTAAGTGACTAAAGCGCTATATAAATAAAGGTGACATGACTTGACTTGACTTGACTTAAAGAGAGACACCTTTGTGCACTTTTGTCAAATATAAAAGTCAAAAGTTTGACATTTCAAATCATTGTGTGAAGAGTAATTTGTCTTGATTTAAAGCGGTTCACTTATTTTGCTGTGACTAGCATACTAAAGCAGATGCAACGTACTTGATTGTCATTTAACTGCAGTGTGCTACTGGATATTACATTTAAAGTTAATATCTTTTAAATGTACTAAATTACAGCTTCAAATATATTTAAATACATGACATAGACATGACATTAAAGTATATTTACCATAAAAGCTTGTCAGTTCATTCAGCAGTACTTGAACCATATTTGAAAGACAAGAGAAGTAATTATGAAATTACATATAAAGATACTTAAGTAGGTGAAAAACACTCAGCTAATTGCATTTCATATACATTTAAACTACATCTTCATTTAATTGCGGTTAATATGTAATTAAGAGTCTGAAAACATTACATTCAGTTCACACGTAAGTATATTCTATTAAAGTGTATTATTTCTGTTATAAGTACTCTTTAAAGTATGCTAAAATGTGCTTCTTTTTCACTCATCAAATAAAAATGTTCTCCAGAAACTGAACTGAACGGCCTCTAGGATCTCTCGTTAAACATCTGTCAAGCCTCTACAGAAAATGAAAGAATGAGTTTCCAGCAACGTTCTCATGACTGAATCAGCGCTGAGTCACGCTGGACCTCGACTGCTTCAGACGAGCCACCCACGCTCCCTTCTCCCTCTCACAGCCTCACTCCGCATTATTTTCATACAACAGCACCATATTGCCATGGAGATCTTTCCCTGAGCAAGTTAACCTACTTTCTGAAGCCCAGAGCGAGTCCCTGCCACATTGATTTAACTAAAGATCTCACTGATGAAAGGACGTGTAGTTTCAGAATTGTTCAGAAACTGACGTGGTTGATGTGAACTACAGTATATGCTTTCAGTTTGTTTTAATGAGAAAATCTCTGGAGCTGCCTTCAAATGTCATACAGCATTTGTTGCTTTTGAGACAAACCCATCAGACTGTGCCAATAGCTGCAAAATGTCCCAGATGTTCTGTGTTGCAGATATGATGTCCTACAGATTGAGTCGTGTCGGTCAGCTCCAGGTTAGAACCCATGAATCCCCGACACGAAGCCCGCTCTGAACACAGGAGCTCTGGAGTCTGTCAGAGCCGCGGGTCTGTGTGGGACGAGGGTTCGTAAGGTTTATCAGGACCTGCGTCGATGCTATTTCAGGCTGCTGGACAACAGGAATTTCATTCTCCTTTTATCTTCCTAACATCTCAGGCCTCACAGATAGAGTCAGAAGATCCTTCGGTTCTGCTGCACCTATCCTAGACATCTAACATCAGCACGAATGAACTCATCTATTGTGTCGACCGCTGAGGGAATGAGTCAAAGTGAAGAAATCCTCAACACAAAGTCAGTGGTTTGTACAAGGTCCCCCTCACACTGAGTAATGTCTTGTTTAGACAATAAAAAAAACTTGGTCTCGACTCAATTCCATTAGCCAGACTATCAGGGAGAGTTCATCCAAAAATGAAAATACTGTCATCATTGACTCACCGTCATGTTGTTTCAAGGCGAGACGGACTTTCTTTCTTCTGTGGAACACATCTCCAGTGTGATATTTTGAAAGGAAGATATTTTGAGGAATGTTCATGCTGCTCTTTTCTATGAAACTACTAAAGGAATAATTCAGCCAAACATGATCATTAGCTAAACATTTCCTCACCCTCAGACCATCTAAGATCAGGATGGGTTTGTTTCTTCATCAGGTTTGGAGAAATGTAGCACTGCATCAGTGTCTCAGCAATGGATGCTCTGCAGTGAATGGGTGCCGTCAGAATGAGAGTCCAAACAGCTGATAAAAACATCACAATAATCCACAGCACTCCAGTCCATCAGTTAACATCTGGAGAAGACCAAAGCTGAAACAAATCCAGCATTAAGACGCTTTTAACTCAAATACGAGCCCATAATCCATAATAACGCTTCCTCCAGTGAAGGCACTCTGACGGCACCCATTCACTGCAGAGCATCCATTGCTGAGACACTGATGCAATGCTGCATTTCTACAAATCTGATGAAGAAACAAACTCATCTACATCTTAGATGGTCTGAGTGTGAGCACATTCTCATTTTTGGCTGAATTATTCCTTAATAGACTATCAAGCTCCAAAAACCCTGTGAAATGTTCATTTCAGTTCTTCTGAAGCCATTTGAAAGCTTGAATTGAATTGAAGCTGCTTCATGTGGCCATGTAGCACCACACATTTATTTTTTTATCAGAAAAGTTGAAAATGCAAAAAAAAAAGTTTGGGAAATGTGCTGCCGCTAAGCTTTTACCGATAAAGTAATTTACATAATGTCATCATCCATAAAATGTTTTTACCCATTTTAATGCATCAAATTTGAATATTCATAAGCACAAAATATGTATCCTATTTGCTGCTGTAGATGGTTTAACACCCTTAAAATTGGCCAGCAATTTTAGGAAAGTCTCTATCATTATCAAAACTGAAAGAAAAAAAACATTTCATGCAGCTCCTCTGAGAAATACCCCATTCACTATTGCAGCAATACAACATCAGATGTTCTCAGACGCCTGGCAAACTCCTCTAAAATCAGGTGTTTACTCATGTGAGACATGTCTGGTGATTTAAGTGTTCCACGACTGCAGGTAATGGCCATTAAATACATGAAGAGCATCCAGTAAAAGAGTGCATGCAATCACTCCTATGCATGTCCAGCACACAATATATCACAAACAGCAGCTCAGTGGACGCTATCACAGCTGTGAGCTTTTCTCTCATGGCCTCAGAATCATCAGGTTAACGAAGGACTGGCAGATATCGCTGTGAATGCTGAATAAACGAGCAGATCCTGGCAGTGAGAGATGTGTCTCCCTAGAGCAGCTGGTTTCAGTTATGGATCATAATTGTTTGTTGTAATTGTAAATGATTTAGAACTGAGATGCTGCAGTGATCACGCTCTGCGTCAGCCTCACTCTTAAATACTGTGGTGTGTTTCGTGCAGAACATGTGCTTGATAAGACATAAGATGACTTAGGATTTCAATAAAGGACTGTTTCAGTCATCACAGTGTTTTTCATGTATTTTATGTGTAATTTATAATGCTATTTTTAAGGCCTCTGAAAATATCTGGTTGATTCACTTTGTTATGTATATTACAGCTTTATTTGATTTATTATGCAATTAAATCGTAATTATAATTTTATTTATTTATTTTAAATAAAGTTCTGTTTAGACCTTATAGTTTGCTCATGTGATAACATCATGTGTGACAACTAGCCCCAGTCTCTCCATACTGTTCAAAATCAAGGCAAAAAGTAGATTTTTGGAGCTCAGATGTAAGCGGGTCGTGCTCTTGTGATGAATTACAGCTGCTGGGACACAGAACGAATTTAAGAACTTACATGTACTAAAAAAGAAAAATCAGATGTCAGAGTGAGTTCTGTGAAAAGCTCTTGCAGCATTTGTTTGATGATAACACTTGGTTTAATATCTTATTAACGATGCAATGACATCCATACACTTGTGTGTGTTTTTTGGGACTACTGTACATGATATCTTTATCTTCTGGTAGATGCACAATACCTGTGCATTATTCGTCTTATGCAGCACAGCATGCCACGCCAGACTTCACACAGAGATCGCGTTCACACACAGCATCACGATGTGACAGCAGATGAGCACTGTGCTGTTTGAGAGGTGGGCTTTGCATCTGAGTGCGGAGGCTTGAGGAGGTGGGAGCTCTGCTTCAGCTCGGAGTCGGATTTCAGAGTTTGAGGGAGTCTGGACGAACTGAGACGGCTTTGTTCTCGTGGAGCTGCTGGGTCCCGGCGGGTGTTCAGGACAGGGGTCTCTGCAGCTTACACCGCGCGTCATGGGCCGAGCGAGCGACTCATCGCGGAGGTGAGCCAGCTTTCCTGAAATCATATTTCATTCATTTGCTTCTGAGAAACATCTCGCATCATCTTCATCTGTATTTCTCATCAGCAGAGTGTGGTGCTGGAGCTTCATTACTGTGTGCATCTGCTCTTCTGCCTCTGCCTTGCTGCACTTGGACTCAGGTATGGCACATCTCTCGCATGTTTCAGAACATCACAGCAAACGTGTTTATATGCGCTATAGCTACAGTCATTCACAAGCTGCAGAAAATAGTTCGAGGTAGGCTGTGCACGACTCGTTCTTTTGAGTCAGGTCTTTTTTAGTGAATCGGTTCGCGGCTGAATCGGTCCGAGCGGTTCTCGAGACTCGTTTAACCGATAATCGGCTCTTTTGTGGCGTCGCGTCGCTGTTTTGGTCGTGTGATCTTGCGTGTACTGGGAGTGAGCTGAGAACCTGTTACTTTAATAACCCATTAACAACAGACATGTTACACATGATGAAACATAATGGAGATAATTACAGGTTTGTCTAATAAACGAAAAGGAGTTGATTTTAATAAACAACAACATGTTATTACTTGCAAAACTTTTTTTTTGTAGTTGAGACATGCAAATTAATTTTAGTAGCATATTGTAAAATAGGCTATTTAGTTTCTAAATTATTGTTTTTATGAACTGAATCATGGGTGCAACGCTATACATTTACAAAACACATATCAATAAAACATAATCAGAAAAACGCATATGTGATTTCATACGGCTTTATTTGGACGTTGTCATGGTCACGGGATGACGTAATTACGCCATGGCATTAAATAATGGCTTTTGAACCGATTCTTAGAAATGAACTTCGACTGAACCGATTCTTAGAAATGAACTTCGACTGAACCGATTCGCATAAACGAGTCAGACTGCCCAATCCTAGGGGTTACCAAAGAAGCTGTTCCATTCCTGTGCTAATCTGTTTCACAAACCACCCACTTATTTTAACGTTGTGTTCAGTTTCTGTTTTTGTAAGATTGAATCTAATCTAAATTTAAGATTCATCTCAGATCTACAGAGCCGCGAAGAAAATTAGATGGCAGGAAAAACATTCAGTGTTAATGCTTTTGTGTTCGCTCGCAAAAATTCTCTGAAAATAGTATTGCTTTTCCTTCCACCTCATATTATTTTCATCATAAAAGTTTTGCAAATGAACACAAAGGTTCTTTGGGGAATGCAAAAGATTTCCTAGTGAACGCAAGAGCATTTCACTTTTTTTTCTTTCTGCCATATCATTTTTTACTGCGTCCCTTTAAGGCCGGGGTTCTCAACTCTGGCCCTCGAGATCCACTTTCAGAGTTTAGCTCCAACACACCTCACAAGCCCTGATCAAACACAGCTGTCTGTAATTATTAAATGCTACTGACGACCTTAATTAGCTGGTCTAGTTGTGTTTGATCAGGTAGATCTCCAGGAACAGGACTGGGCTCCCTTGATGTCCATGTATTTTGTAAGTAGCTGTGCAATAATGGGATCTTGTTGTTACTGTTAAAAAACAAAACCTATAGTTTCAGGGTGAAATGAGACCCGCTAAGCGCTCAGAACAGACTGTAGGCTATAGATGAACACGAGCAGCACAGGAGCCGCTGGGAGACGTGACGATGATGATGATGATGATGATGATGATGCACTCCGGCTCTGATGTGGTTTTCTCTGAGCGCTGAGACTGCAGAACTCCATGAACTGTTGCTGCAACATGATTTATTAAGATCCAGATGCATTTATATTACTTTTGTCCATTGTAGCTATTTTTATATTGTTTTTCCATAGTAGTTTTAGGGCGCTATGAAAGTCACTTTCCATGTTTCCATCACTGTATCCAGGTGAGGTTCATAGTTTGGTGAGGGAGCTCAAGGTCGCAGAAGGTGGTCGTAGAGGGCTAAACCCCATTTCTTTACCTCAATTACCCTCGTGATGACAGATAGCTGGCACAGCGACTCTGTTCGGTCGAAACTGCCGTTATGACAAGCGGCGGAGCCCGAGTAATCTTCCCTAAGGATGACATCATGTCCACAAAAGCTGTATTGTGTTCCATCCGTAAAATAACGCAGAGCTGTTCATACTCGGTCCAAACGGGACGCGTGCCAGAAGATCGCATTCTTGACCTCGTTTTATGTTAATGATGAATTTAATATGTTTTGAGGAATGGCTTGGCTGTTATTACGGGGCGTCGATAACACTGCAGTTTCTCAATCAGCTGAAATTTGACACATTATTCCAGATGCAGGAGAAAAGCTTCAGAATGTGCATTTAAAGGGGTAGTTCACCCACAAATGCAAATTTAAAGCATTTACTCCCCCTCACATTGAAGAGGAAATCAAAGTCAGTTGTTTTGGACCCCACTGACTTTCATAAACGAGGGTGGCTAAACAGAAGTTTAGTTTTTAGCTGAACTGTTCCTGTAAGCTGTGTGATGTTTGAGATGACTGCTTCTAGAGCTTTTGTGATTCACATTTCACAAGAACTCCTGTAATATATGATGATAGATGATCGTGAAGAGCTCGGCCAGCACGGCGCTGGCCAGACGACTGATTTGGGACACATATTTCCAGCCCCAGCTGTAAACACAAAGGAAACAGAGCCGTTTCCACAGAAACCAGCCATCTGAGTGTGTTGTACGAGAGCAGCTGCTTTCTGATTCTGATGTGTATTTGATGCACAAACTTCGTCTGAAACACGTTTGGTCTTGACTGCTCAAGGCCTCTTGCTGCGTCCACACAGTTTGGCATTGGCTGTTCCGTTTATCTCGTCGTTTAAGGTCATGTTTTTTCAGATTCAGTTTTTCTGTGTAAAGTGGCAATGTGAAATCTACCTGGATTCAAACACTCGTTGAGGACTTTGTTTCACTGACCTGGCTCAGTGCACTGAAGTCTCGAGAGCTTTAGTAGCGTTCTCCAGGGCTTGGGTTTCCTGTAGATCTGGTTCCTCTGCTCTTGTTTAGTTTGTATTAGAGTTACTGTTCTCCTTCCCTTCAGAAGCGGTCCTAATGTGGACACTGACAGCTCATATTAACCACAGGAATGGAGGCCGGCCTTTTGTAATGCATCCTACTGCTGAAGAATTGTCTTCTAACTTTTGAAACATTGACCCACATGGCAGCTCTCAGCTCTCAAAACAAACCTGAGATTGTGGGACTCATGCCAGCGGCGGCTTTTCCGCTGAAGATAAGCAGGAGCGAGCCTGGTCCAGGACCTGATGGAGACCTCCAGACACCTGGAGGAGACTGTGCCGTGATGGGGAACGTTCTTTGGAGGAGGTGTTCAGTTGAGCTCCTGACTTTGGGGTTTTTATAATGTTCTGGGTGATTCCCAGGTTTTTTCACATCAATCAAATGCATGTGGCATACGAATCAGATGTGTGTGTGTGTGTGTGTGTGTGTGTGTTGCATAATGCAGTTGTTGCTCTACAGGAATGTATTGTGACATACTCCAGCATTACAGCAACACAGTGAAATTAAAACGTTTGGATTGACAGTGTGAGAGGATTTTTCTTCCTCCTCTCTGACACGTCTGCCTCCAGTTTCTGGAAAATATTAGGCAACGGATAAAACTCCATCAAAGGAAATGTGCAAGAGTGTCCAAACAAGAATGTTAAAACGACGTCTCATCCTTTCCCTCACTGGCCTGCAGAACAGGAGACTCATTGTGAGAGAAGCTAATTCTGTTTTGGAGGAAACCGTGGCGTCTTGTACTGGTGTAACCGCAGAGTTTAGTTTCTCATTGTGAAGGGTCTTCTGATGTTAATGGCTGTTTGATTCTAATGTGAGAGTCAATGAAAACAACACTTAATGTGCTTTTTATTACAGTTTGATTCACCTTACTGAACAGATCCAGTATTATGTTTGTAAGCTGCTTGTTGAAACATACTGGCCACATATATACAGCAGTGTTTTAAGACTGGCAGTGAATCCTCTCATTTGAATCCTTTAATGTGTAAAGCAGGAGTCACACTATGTTGATATAGTGATGATAACCAGTGACCGACTGTGAACAAGAAACATGAATGAAAGCCTGTTTATTTCATCAGATGATGGTTCATTAGATGAAAAATAAAATCTAAAATAATGTAAAGATAAGGGAAATGAGCATGAACAATTAAATATCCAGTATAGAAAAAAAATCTAACATTGGCTTATTAAAAAATCTAATTATGATTTTTCTGTAAAAAAAAAAAAAAGCTTTATGTTTGCTGTGCTTGTTTGTAGGTCTGCACAATGTTGCCCCAAATTGTGTAACTTTATATATAAATATGGTTGTGTAAGTAATATTATTTATTGTAATATGTCACTGTAAAATAAAAAAATCTAGCATTTAAGAATATATATATATATATATATATATACACACATATATATATATATATATATATATAAAAAATTAATTTTTTTTTCAAACTTTAAAATATTATGCTTTTATTTGTCAGAAAAGTGCAGGGAGCCCTTAAAGTGTTTCTTTTATTGACAACAGCTGGATTATATGTGCTTCTCATTACAAGTTTGCTAAGACAGTTTGGCTTGTGTTTCATTCCCAAATGTATGTCATGAGTAGCTCCGTCTCAGAGATGCAGATGGAGTTGTGGATCATTTACTGTGAATCGAGTAGCTCTGAGAAGCTGAAAACACAGACCATGAGCTGCTCATGTGTAGTGCCGCGCTTCACTCTCAAACACACTCCTTTAATGAAATCACAGCCTTTGCTCTTTGAGAATCGCACGAAGCCATATCGTGATTTCTGTTTTGATTAATCATGCACTACAGTATGGTGGTTGTCACTACCTGAATGCTTCAGGAGTGTGTTTTTGGTAGTAGAATGGGGTTTCCATTCTCATTAATCAAAATCCATGACCATATTTAGCTGCGTTATGCGCACGGCCACTGTGTCCTACAGGCCAAGGAGTCAAATGAGGCCAGTTTATTTTCTGTCACTGTGCAATAAGAATAACAGCTGAGCGGTCTTGAGAGGCCTGTACCATCTCTAGCATGCTTAGTATCAACATACACGAGCCAAGAGCTGCTGTTATGCCTCTTTACCCATTCCTGGGTCAATCCGTCTGCTGTATACATCACAGTGAAGATATAGCAAGAGCACTTCATAACACACACATATATTATATACAGTACCATCCTCCCTGTTCCCATGCAG